AACCTCTTCTAACCGGTTCGGTAGATTTGACGAACCGGGTCTACCGAATAGGTGCGAACTGGTAGGAACCCACCTCTGGTTCAAACTGACAGAAAAGACCATGCCTTTAAACTGTGCACACACAAAACAATGTTTGAACTTTTTGTAGTTCTAACTAGGCCTTTATTTTATTTACAGCCAAGAAATAGACCCCGTGCATCGGATTTTTCCATTTCTGACTCAATTTATTCGATTTATAGTTCGATTCCATTTTAATTTACAAGTTCTTTTTTTATTTTCTGAAAGTTCCAAGGATTAATTGGGTAGTGAAGAACAATGATCTTTGCTTTCTCCTCTCCATTGTGGGCCTCTGTTTTTTGGTTGCCTTCCTTGCACCAGGGAACTGCCTGCAGTCTCCCAAAACAGTAATCCCAAATTCTCCTGGAGAAAGAGGGAGAGGGGAAAATGTGCTTTTGCATGGTGCCAAAGCCCATAACTAGGGAAAGATATGTATTAGGTGTATCTGAGCCAATCTGCTTAGGGCTGGGAGGAGAGCTGTCGCATTGTGAATGCTGGGTGGTTATTCACAACAACTGTGTTCTTTTTTCTCAGGCGCCACATCAGCCCCCAGTCTCATCTTCATCCTTCCTAGCATTTTCTACATCCGAATTATTCCCAATGAAAAAGAACCACTACGATCAAGACCCAAAATCCAGGTATTGACAAGCAGATGGCACAGTTATACTAGAGAATTGGGGAAAAAAGGCTTCCTTAAAGGCTTAGTGCAAGAGCTCCAGTGGGTTGGAGCTTATTCGGGAATGTGGGTTTCTGTCCATGCTCCTTTGATTTTCTCAATCTTTAATCACTGCAAGATGAGGTGGCAGTTTTGCACCCAGAATTGGCATGAAGGCCATGGAGAGGCGTTTTGGAAGCTAAGGCTGTTGAACTCAAGGTGATTGGGAGGTTGCTGGACAGATGGGATAAGGAACGTTTTCTTAGATATTTTGTGTGGGTTGCTGTGGACTGTTCCATCCTGAAAACTGAAAAAACAGATTATTATGAGGAATTGTGATTCATGAATTGTCTTTCTCCCTCCACAGGCTGCGTGTTTTGCTGCCCTTGGTTTCATTTTCATGGTGATGAGCCTCACTTTTATCATCGTTGACTGGGTAACCACAGGGAAGAGCTCTGGAGTGAATCACTAGCGAAGCCCACTCCTCACCCCAAGAGACCAGGTGGTTCTAACCAGGGAGACCATTCAGTGCCAGAGAAACAGTGGTGCCTTTTGCTGTTTATCCTCACTCATCCTGGAGACACCATAATTACCTGTCCCAACACTTTGGAGAAGTGTTGGAAGCCATCCCCTTTGGTGCTATGGCAATGCAAAGTAATTTGGAACATCTCCGGGGCTTCACTACAGCCCTTCTAAGATCTAGGCCTCTAAATCAGAGCCTCTGAATTTAAGCTCCCTTCATTTGCTGGCTCCTATGGTAGCAGCATTATTTTCCTGGCCTTCGTTTTGTTTTGTTTTTTCTCCCTGCCGATATTGTGCCATCACCAACAATTGCATGTCTCGGCAAAACCACGTGGGGTTTGGTTTGGGTTTTCTTTGCCCAGGATTATCGTGCTGCCTCTCAACAAGGCTTAGTTTGCCTTTTTCCTCTCCCCCCCCCCCTTCTTCTCTTCCTCCTTCGCCTCCACTGTTACAGAAAGAATCTCAGGCTGGTTTGTCATCATTTGTCACTATACCAAATGGTGCCTTGACGTCTCAACAATTGTGACGCCTTTGTTATCCAACATGGAAGAGGGTGGGGGCTGGTTGCTATGGAGGCATAGTGTCTGATATCACTCAGTCTCCTGCCTGATATCACTTAAGGCCACAGCAATGATAACAACTGACAGCGAAGGAAACGCCATGCCTGGAGGGGTGTTGATCAAAGCAACGGACAATCTAATTTATTTGCTCTTATTTAATTTCGACCAGGCTACCAGACCAAAGAATATAAATAACATAGTCATCCTAATGCCTATTTAATCCATGCCACGATTCCAGGTTTTTCTGACATAGATGAGGTCTGGGAATCGAGGGAGGAAGGAGAACTAGGGACCCTGGAATCCTGGAAATTTTCTTCCACCTAAGGAGGCAGAGCAGAATGGATCATTTCGGTGCAGCGGGAGACTCAAAGACTCCCTGCTAGCGGGAGGGGAATGCAACTCCCTCAAATTGTGGGATAATGTTGTTTGCTGTCTCTCGTCTCTGAATGATGCTAGGTTTTTCTCTGAGGCTATCCAGAAAAGTGAATTCTACATACACTACAACACCATCTGGTGATTTCCCATTGGTGCATCTCCCTGGGCCCCAGGGATTAAATTTCTTAGTGCTGCATATGAGTTTAGGATTCCATTTCTGAAGTATCTGAATGTGAATTCTGCTCTTATGGCTGAATCCGCTCTTATTGGCTTGGTTAACTTCAAATGGTGCTGATAATGCAAAATGATAAGAGCCTTGATTGAAAATTGTTGAAAAGACACTAAGGAAAAAAAAATGCTAACAGAGAGGCTGTACAGGTGGTCCACAACGTACAACCACAATTGAGCCCAAAATTTATGTTGCTAAGCGAGAAATTTGCTAAGTGAGTTTTGCCCCATTTTTATGACACTTCTTAACATATTTGTTAAGTTGTTAAATTAGTAACACAATGGTTAAGTCTTGTCAGAAGATTTGCAAAAGGTGATCACATGACACACACACACACCCTTCCCCAGCACACTGCAACAATCATAAATGTGAGGCAGTTGTCAAGTATCCGAATGTAAATCAGGTAACCAGCTGCAACGGACGTAAGTGTGAAAAATAATCATACGTCACTTTGTTCAGTGCCGTTGTAACTTTGAACATTCACTGTTGTAAGTTGAGCACTACCTGTATTTGCACAGTATACTTAACCAAGCCAATTACAAATCTAATGGCCGAATTTGCATAAAATGCTACACATGACTAGTTTTTTGTGGTTTTACTATGTTGCGTGAACCCACCTAGTTAGTTCAGGGCTCAGTGTGTATGTGAAAAAGAGTTAATTGAGAAAATAAATTAATTAAGTGACCAGTTTAAGTGTGATACAAGCCAGCAAGGCATTCCTAGATATTTTTCCCTTTGGAACTGACACACCAGATTTGTTTTTCCTCAACATCTGTACAATGATGTCTTAAATCTTTGTCCTCCAATATATTCCCTATGTACTTACTGCTTTTTTCACTTCAGAGATACTGAAGTGGAAGTGAAAGAACAATGGTAGGTTAGTTTTGCTAATCATGAATCACCTTTCGTCTGCCTGAACAAGTGTAGTTTTGTTATGTGCAATGAAATTATTAAGGAATTTAATAAATAAGAATGCATATGTATTTCCACACATATCTCCCCTGTCATCTTCATGGTCACTGACATGAATCATTTAAATTGCACTTTTCAGAATTCTTAAAAATATTCTCCCTCCCCCTCCTTCCCACCACAATAGCACTTATATTTAAAGATAGTTTAACAAAACTAAATACTGCTATTCCAGCAGAATATGCCTCTTTATTTTTGTATTTTGAGACGCTTATGTGTAATTCACCTTTTTGAGTCATTGAATTAGTCACGTTAAAAGGGGTCATAGTAAAAACTTGGGGAAGTGTTAAAGAAGCTTTTAAGTTGAAAGTTGATACTTTCCTGTGAATCGTTAGTCCTATAATTCTGAAGATTAAACACCCCCTGAATTATGGATCTTTCATTGCAATGTCCCTTGACAGTGAATGGGTGGAAACTAAATCTTTTGGTAGGAAGGTAGTTAGCCCAGCCTGACAAACACAATCTCTGTTCCATTATTCATCTTTTTTAAAAATAATCTCTAGTTATTTGGTATCTTTCTGCCTTTTGTTCCCTTTTTATTTATCTTTTTCTTATACAGAAATTTTAGGTATACATTTCATCAAGTGTTAATACTTCTTGTAGCAATGCCTGATTGCTAATTGCTTGCTCACACTTAAAGGTTATCTTTTTAAATGCACTTATATGACATCTCTGATAAAAACTAATCTAATGAAAGAAAGCCTGTTAGATCTAAGGGAGCTTGCTCCACTCTCAGAACTCTCGGGAATGTTCCTCTTTTTATAAAAATTATCTTGTAATCTGAACCTTTGGCTTGGATCATAGCCTCCGAAGCAGAAAACAAATTTGATCTGTCATCTTCACAAGACCCTTAATCATGACTCTATTATACCACAAATACCTCAGCGTGATTTTAAAAATGAAAGAGAATGGAAGGGTTCCCTCGATCACCTTCTCTCTAGTTTATGTAATAAGTTCTGCATTATCTACATTTATTCTTCAAGGTTTTTTTTTAGCTTTTATTTTCTGCTTCTTGTTTATCAGTTAAATAACTTGTTAGGGATTCAATATTTTTCCATTGAGAAGGTGAGATTCTGGAGGACCTAATTGAATGATATGAGTTCCTTTAGATCAGTGTTTCTCAACCTTGGCGACTTGAAGATGNTGAAGCGGTATATAAGCCTAACTGCTATTGCTATTGCTATTGCTATAAAATGAAATTAGAGATGGTATGTATGTGAGGGCCACACCTCTTTCCCTCCTCCTCTTTCACTCTGCGGCAGTCCTTTTTCCCCCCCCAGAGCTGTTCTAAGGGGTTTCTGAGTGGTATTATGGAAGGAAGCAGCTGGTCTTTTTGGCTAATTTTTCCTTCTATAAATGGATCTTCGGGGGCTTGGTGCCTTATTCACATTCCTCCCCTGATCAAGAGAATTTGGGACCAAGCCACAGTGCTCTGTTGCTTGCAGGACTTAAACCCCCAATCTCAGAAACAAGACGGGGGAAGGAGATACAGAGATTATTCCCTTGTGGATCATAAACTCTCCCCTGAGTTTCCATTTAGGAGTGGAAAATAATTTCACCACAAATTGTGCTGAAACGCTATTGGATGTCATCTTGGGGCATATGTTAGCATTAAAATCCACTAGTATTTATCTTTCTCCCTGTACAAGTTGACAACCGTGTCTGAAAGAAATACATTGTTGAAAGTTGGAAGGAAAAAGCGGCAACTGTATTTAAAGGAGATTTACATTTAAATAGCTTGTATCTAAGGCCATTTATGTGTAGAAGGACAAAAGAAGTGATTTTTTTTTTCATTTTTAAAAGGCTACTAAGCAATGTGTTCATGTGTTGTGTAAAATTGGGAAGGTATTTAAAAGCATTCCTATGTTACAAGATGTTATAAGAGTAAAAAGTTATGACATTTTTGCGTGTACTATTTTAAACTGTTGTTTAAAGTTGTTGAACTGGAATATTGCCATGTTACCACAGACAGTAAAGTGGTCAGAATTTCTAGAGGAGATTTATATATGTCAAAATACAACTCTGTGATGCTATCTCATTTTTTTCAGCTTTAAATTGGGTAAATGTGGAAGTGAAGCCACATTTCAACTTTGCCTGTATGTCTTTAAAAAAAAATATCTCTGTTTTTCATGTGGACTGGGATAAAAATGGAAGAGGGAAAGATTTGTAAAGTAGCCTTCAAACTTAAATTAGGTTATGTCAATACCATTGCACTCCAGTTCTTAGCATAAGATCAGTTCTTTAACTGATCTTATGTTTGTCATTAAAAGTTCTGTTATGAATGACAGACTATTTCTTTATTACAAGCGGAATATCACTGTTTTCATATTAGGATATCATAATGGATTCAGGAGAACTTCACTTCCTCCTCTGGCTAAACACCTGTGAGAATGTCCTTGGTTCCCACAGGAAAACTTTATTGTTTTGGCTACAAAACCCCATCTAACTATTTCCCCCCTCCCTCCGTTGTGTGGTAACCCTGAAAGCCTCCAAGACGGCTTCAGCCAGGTTCACTTTACAGTTGACACATGAGCGGTGGGGGAGCGTCTGTGTGTGTGTGTGTGTGTGTGTGTGTGTGTGTGTGCAGAGCTCCATGCAAGTAAAGCTGCGTGCATGCTCGCCTGCTGTAGCCCAGTTCTGAACGGGCCTCAGCTCATAATGGACCATGCCACTACCTCTGGAGACCTCTGGAGGAAAGAGAGGGTGGTTAGGATGGAATAAAATTTGAGGAAGAAATCTGCCCACTTACAGTAACAGGGAAGGGTTTGTTTCCTTGTAATAAAATGCTTAACAGATTGGTTGGACACCAGTGCAACTCTGCAAGTAACCAGAAAGGAAAAGAAATGGCATAGTGCAAGAGAAGTCTCAAATCACTTTGGTCATTCACTGCTCACTTATTTGCATATTGTCATGCTTCTGAATGGCTTCTGAATTTCTGACCAATCCCATGAGGGCTAACTGTAAACATACAAATTGTAGTCATCAGTAGGAAAGCGTTACCTCTACTATCCCAGCAGTTCCTCTCAAGTGTTTCCTAATCTTGGCATCTGCAAATGCATGGATGTCAGTTGTAAAAATTCTTAGCAACAGCTGCATTGGCTGGAGAATTTTGGGATCTGAAGTTCATGTACTTGGAGATTATTCAAGCTGGGAAAAAAGGACATTTTGGTGTCTTTTATACACTCTTGTAGAGTCAATTTGGTGTAATGGTTAAGGCAACAGGCTAGAAACCCAGAGACTGTGAATTCTAGTCCTGCCTTAAGACACAAAGCTGAATGGGTGGCCTTGGGCTAGCTAGTCACTTTCTCTCAGCCTTAGGAAGGAGACAATAGCAAACACTTCTGAATACCCTTGCCAAGAAAACTATGGGGACTTGCCCAAGCAGTCTGAGAATTGGACACAGCTGGACGAGAGAAAAAGAAAAACACTCTCTTTATCAGTGAATCCTCTGTCCTTGATTCCTCTGGACGACTGTCAATTGTTGTCGTTGGTAATAATGACCTAGTGGGGCTGACACCTAAGTCTTGGCTCTAACAGGGACACAGTTCTTTTCCACGTACAAAGTGTTCATTTTAAAGATTTTTTTTAAAAAAAGATAGGGCAGGTAGCATTTGGCTAGCTATATTTGCTAGCTAAAATAAATACAGATTTAAATTTGGGAAGGAAAATGTCAAATAGCCAGATGCAAAAGTGTACTCCATGCTTTTCAGTCCATATTAAAAAGGATTTTTTTTAAAAGATAAAAAGGATGAAAAAAGATGGCACCTGCGAAGAGTCAGTCAGTCTGTCTGTCTTGTCCACACATAGGACGTCTTTTTTTTGCTACTGTTCACTCTCTCTGGGTTTGTGTGAGAGGGAGTGAGGCAACTATAATGTTCATGGATTCATCTAACTGTTGTGCTTTATTTTCAGCGAATGGTACATGAACGGGCAAATTTTAATAGTTGTCGTCAGCGTTAGTGTCATCCTGCCCTTGGCTTTGATGAAACATTTAGGTAAGTGACAGAAAGTGTTTGTCCTGTGTTCTGCTTGTGCATGCTTGGATAAATATTGCCTGATCATGTGTATGTACTTTTTTTTTGCGTCACTGCTGGTTTTTTACCTTAAGAGTTCAAGGCGAGATTGTGTCACTTCAGTCAATGAGTTGAGGCATATACAACAGTGCTGCCCCCAACTGGAGGGAATCAGCATTGCTTCCTATGAGGATCTTCTGTTGACATTGATCTTGCAACCTATTGTTGCAGAGAATTATTTGGGGCACAAAAGGATATTAGCAGAAAAGCGATATTCCATGGGGTTGTTATTTTCCCCCCAGTATGTGCATTGCCAAATTCAATTGCATTGACTTTCCGAACTGAATTTTTGATTGAATTTTAACTGTGAGCTCAAATCTAATACATCTAAATCATCTGGTGCTGACAGAAGATTTTCACCCGGGTGTGCTTGCATTTTTATTATCTGATTAAATAAATTAATACATTCATAGAATGTAAGGGTTAAAAAAAATTCTGGGAAAACCCTCTAATCCAATCTCTCACTAAATGTATTAATCGAATACAATGGCATTGAATTGATCCAATTTGAATTTAGTTGGTCACCCATGTCATAAACTTAATATTCAAAATTAAATCAATCCTTCCACACCCAATAAGCAATTATACAATTTATGTAATAAATAAGTGTAAATGGAACAAAGACCAATATGTCAATTTGTTAAACATATACTAAAAAAGTGCATTTTTCCTGGTTGCTTTATTTCTGTTTTCTACACTGGAATTTGTTGCTTGCAATCGTTAAAACATCCTCCAAGGCTGAACTCTGCACTTTTTCTCTCAAATTTTCCCTGTAGTATATAGATGTTGAATTTGAGAAGGCCATTGCATCAATTTAGAACTAAGGACACCGTCCAATTTGTATTAAGAGCAGATATATCTAATTAATGGCGGCTTTCTTTTCCATATTTAGCTTTCTTTGCTGTAAAATCTTTTTATCAAGATCCTGTATAAAAGTTTGATGCAATTCCTTTGTTCCCTTCCTTCTTTTCACAGGTTATCTTGGTTATACTAGTGGACTCTCACTCACCTGTATGTGTTTCTTTCTCATCTCGGTGAGTTACATAATTCCCAGAAACACTGGCTTCTCACAGAAAGAAAAGGTGCCAGATTTAAATAGGAAATATGTGCCAAAATATTTTCAGAGGACAGTTAACTCCTTAATTCCAGATTGCTTCTCTTCTTGATTAGTTTTCATCCATTGTTTCTTGTGTTGCCTTCTGGTGCTTTGGAAAAGGTGTAAAAGCTGTGTGTTGTTGTTGTTTTTTTGCTGCATTATCTCTCATTCACTCTTTCCTAATGCTCACCATCCATTTTCCATTTCTGCCACAAAGGTAATTTACAAGAAATTCCAGATCCCTTGTCCCTTCAATGATACTGTGGTGGTCAATAGCACCATGGAGTCCAGTCATGATGTCTGTAGTGCTGAAGCCTTTCCTCTCAATTCTCAGGTTAGTATGAAAGTATCTGAATCTAGTGAAATTGAACATGTTAAGATTAACGGTAGAGCAGGGAAATACCATTTGGCTATATGAGGCCTGCAGAATCTGCTGGTGCAAGTGAATTAATGGACTTTTGTCTGCTACCATGTTCTAATCACATAATAAGTTTTGTGCCTGAAGGTGTACTTAAAGCTCAGTCTCTATGGCCTCTTTACCTCAGCATCTTAATCTCTATGACATATTGCCTCCCCCCCTGCTTTTATTGAAGTACATCTAGTACTAAAGTCAGTGGAATTTTGGGGGGGGGGCAATAGGATTCCTAAATTATTCCTAGTAATTGTACTCAGAATTATAGATTTTCTTTGAGAAGGGGAACAATATTCTGCAAGTATAAAATTCTTTGGTAACTTTTGAAGAAGCTCTTTAGGCTATACCCAGATTTTTCAGGGGTGCATGTAGCTTTGAGATCTCAGGTTGTGTACATATATAACAAATCAGGAAGCAACTGTAAAGTTGATGGAGGAAGAAAGTGCAATTGACAAGATAGATTTTTTCCCTTCCCATTTTTCCTGTAAAAATATATAGTGTAATGTAATTTATAATTCAATGAAAATTACCATCTGCATTTATAAAGACAAACCCTGCTTTCTAATTTTAATAATAAGGTTTTCTGTAAAATAGTCCTACTGCTCTGTATTTACTCACAACAACTTCAATATATCTACGAGAAGGAGCAATCTAGAAATTATGAGTTCCTTCTGCTTAGAACAAAAACGGAACTGTTTTTTTTTCTTTTATTTTTCTAGACTGCATATGCAATCCCCATCTTGGCATTTGCCTTCGTTTGCCACCCAGAAGTGCTTCCTATTTACACTGAGCTGCGCAGGTGAGAAAACTTGACAGCATTAGTGGAAAGGTTCTGAATTTTCTGAAAGAATATGTGGAATAGCAGAAGGACAATATGCAAGATAATTTGAACTTTGTGGAGGAAGAAATGCTAAAAAAAAATAGCAATAGCAATAGTACTTAGACTCATATACTGCTTTACAGTGCTTTACAGCCCTCTCTAAGCGGTTTACAGAGTACGCATATTTCCCCCAACAATCTGGATTCTCATTTTACCCACCTCAGAAGGATGGAAGGCTGAATCAACCTTGAGCCTGGTGAGATTTGAACTGCCAAATTGCAGTCAGCCAGCAGTCAGCAGAAGAGCCTGCAGTACCGCACTTTAACCACTATGCCACCACAGCTCATAGATTCATTTAGTCATGTTCCCAATGAAAAGTGAGAAGGGCAGTGCTGGACAGGGAAGAAACAGGCATGGTTAGCCACACTATACATTATTCCTAGTTTTCTAGTGTTATACCTTCCANTCACCTTCTCTCTAGTTTATGTAATAAGTTCTGCATTATCTACATTTATTCTTCAAGGTTTTTTTTTAGCTTTTATTTTCTGCTTCTTGTTTATCAGTTAAATAACTTGTTAGGGATTCAATATTTTTCCATTGAGAAGGTGAGATTCTGGAGGACCTAATTGAATGATATGAGTTCCTTTAGATCAGTGTTTCTCAACCTTGGCGACTTGAAGATGCCCGGACTTCAACTCCCAGAATTCCCCAGCCAGCATTTGCTGGCTGGGGAATTCTGGGAGTTGAAGTCCGGACATCTTCAAGTCGCCAAGGTTGAGAAACACTGCTTTAGATAATAGTTGCGCATTTTCTTCTGAGCATCCTAAACCGCACATCGTAGCTTTGCTCTGCTGATTGTCATATGCTAAATAAACAAATCTGATTAATCTTATCTACTTTGAAAAGGAAATACTCTTAGAAATACATCAATGTGGTACACATGTTGTCCAGAACAATGTTCATTATTTGCGCTGCAACATACTTAAGACAGTACATGGAGCAGCTCTCTTGCCTTTTTAAGTTGACAAATGGAAAACTTAGATTACATTAAGATAAGTGACTTGTATCTTTACAAAAGGGTGCATATGCTCAGCAAAAATGAGAGCCCTGTTCCAAGGTAGTAATACTACTAGGTCTGTGCCTCTTAAATTGCTTTCTCTGCACCCACCCATCTGTAAAGTATACAGTACGTGAGTTAACTTCAAATGGTTTAAAATGTGCTGAGATAGGATCTGTAAATAGAGATATAATCATTGGAAATCCTGCTGGTACATTATAATAATTATCCAAACAATTTCAGCAATATTATCTTATTTTTTGGTCATTCCAGAGGGAATACCCCTAGCTTCCCCCCTCCCCCGAATAACCCGTTACATCATTCATCTTGTCTTCCTGTTAGAATGAGAAATTGTCACAAGACTTTCTTTAGATCATACTTTCTAATGTATGCAAAACCTACAATCATGGCCAGAGTATTCTGTTTATTGAATTTGTATGGTGTATTACAAAGTAAGCCCCATGTTTGGTACCTTTATCTTCTGCTACGTTATCTGGTAATGTACATTGAACTTTGAAATTCTAAACAGATTTATTACTTGGAGTGGTATTCAATTAAACCTTCCCAATTGTGGAACAAACTTCATCCGTAGAACAAGCGCAATGTCAAGATCTGTTTCTGAACACAGGGCAAAGGAGGGTGGAAGAATTCTGAAGTGGAGGGTGGCTTGTACATTGGAAGCAGAAGCACTCAAATTGAACTTTGGCATAAAGGGATACGTCCTTTGCTGAACTTGATTGTCCTATTGCTGCTCATAGTTATCAGGTTCTGGGGAGGAGCAACTACATACAACGTAATTGACCTGTGCTTCTTCAAAACCAATGCCACTGAGTGTCATGCTGCTCCCGTTTAATGGGTAAAATGCCTGAGCTTTTTGCTCTTCTTGGCTTACTAATTTTGAATTCACAAGCTGACTATAAGGTGGCCAGATGCAAAACAGGTCCTAATAGCATGTAAAAGAGAAATTCACTCGTAAAGAATTGTTGTCAGCACAGCTATTTCAAACTTTCTTGTAGCCAGCTGCTTATAAGCATCTGAGGAGAAACTGAGGTCATGTCCTCACCAATGACTTGAAGCATGCTTATAGCATCACCAAACTACAGTGATGGAAGGCCTGTTAGGGAACAATAATGGTTGGATGATTCTAGTAGGCAGTTGTTAGTGGCTTAGCAACTGCAGCCTTTTCCTCCTAGCCCAGCTGTAATTCAAAATAGTGGGAATGCAAGGTGGAACATCTAGTAAAGCAGAATTGACAATTGAGCCCCTGGCTTAGAAACTTGATACCTTCTGGGAGAGCTTGGCTCTCCGCTGACCTGTGAAAATCCACCCCTTAATTTCTTATCCAAATGAAAAATGTACCTCACTACAACACTTCTACCCCACTAGGATCTGGATGGCCTCAGCTTTTTTTACTTCTTTGTTTTTCATTAAATGGGGATGGCTTTCTGCTTGGAATAGTAATGGGATCCAGATTTAAGGGAGGAGGGTACACATTCAAAATGTGAACTTGATATAAGGACACAGTATTTGTATAATTTTGGTATTCAATAAAGAACTGTTGACCTTGTACTGTGTATTTGATTTGTTTTTATTATTTAGAACTTCCTTATCTGACTTGGACATGAGGGTTTTATATGTGTCCATATCAGTGGTGAAATTCTGTGGGTGTGGCTTGGTGGGCGTGGCAGAGGAAGGATAGTGCAAAATCTCAATTCCCTCCCCACTCCTGGGGAAAGATATTGCAAAATCTCCATTCCTATCCCACTCTGGAGCCAGTCAGAGGTGGTATTTGCTGGTTCTCTGTACTCAAAATTTCCACTATCAGTTCTCCAGAAACTGTCAGAACCTGCTGAATTTCACCCCTGGTCCATATGCTCATTTATGTGTGAAAACATATTCCATTTTATTGAGATACCTGCTATAAGTATTCCTTGTTTAGCAACCACAATGGGACCCAGCAACTCAGTTCTTACGCAAAATGGTCGTTTGTGAAATCATAGTTGTGCTTATGATCTTATTTCAGCTTTCCTTTGCTTCACAGACCTGGAAATGTAGTCAATGCGAGAATTGGTTGCTTTTTCATCAGCCGTGAATGATTGTTAAATGAGACAGTCACTAAAATAGTATCTGTATAAAAAATGTTTTAAAAAGAAGGGGAGACTCAGATTCAGTTGTATCTTCTGGATTTTGTGTTCTTACATAATCCACATTACTGTCCAGTTCAGCACAGGTCTCATTTCTTATATTCTTGCTGAAATGTTTAAGAACTGTTTCACCTCCAGGCCACTGTACTGTTCGTACGCCTGTATCATTTAGCAAAATGGGTGGTGCTTAAATTTAATAAATAAATAAAATCTTACTGATGTTTTGCTTTTGGTTTGTTGTGATTAAAAACAACAAAGCCATCCTTGGTGCCCTTAATTGTTCAATCTTGAGAGTCTCCTTTTGTTAACTGTGACATCATTCTGGGTATTTTGTGTCACTAGGACTGTTGTTATTTTAGAGAAGAGAAAGAAAGTCCTGAGACAGAACAGTACTTTTCTCAGAAATTATTTCTTAGTTCTGTCCTACTTTACCTGATGTCCTTGCTTGATTATCTTGGAGATTTGCTACATTGGCATACAATTTTTAAGCTAAGATTTCAATCCTAATGCTGTGAGGCCCTCAGACAGGTTCCAGCCAGATCTCCTAAAAGATTTCTTCATCTTCCCTATAATATACAAAACATTCGATTCCTGAGAAAGTCTGGGATCGTTCTACTTGATCTGTGGACATTTATGTGTCTGTATATACCTATTTTCATGCCTTCCTCTCTTTCTTGTTGATCTTTCATGCATCTCCAATTTCCAGGCTGCACAAATGGGAACTGGGCTGCGGAAGTGGCAGGTGAACGAGAGAAGCTTCAACCACACATTGTACAGGATCTACATTGCGTGTGAAGCCATTCACCACCACACTGGTCTGCAGAAGATAATTTTTCTTCCAAAACCTGTCCTTGGTGCCAGAAAGGTTGTGGACAGCTGCATTAGGTGATGATGATAATGCACCATACTTAGAATCACTGAATCTGTGCCAGAAAACATGGTTGAAACTTCCTACGTACTGTGTAAGAGCCAAGGTGGCGCAGTGGTTAAATGCAGCACTGCAGGCTACTGCTAGATCAGCAGGTCAGCG